GAGCTCAGTCGTGGTGCCTTAGATACAGCGTACACCTCCAAAGCCTCACCAGCTCTGATTCTGCGTAGGTGGGCTTTCCTGGCTGAACTAGATTCCCCGCCTCCTGCAAAATCCCCTGATATTACCCTGATCTCTCCTAGGGGTTGTTGGTGCTGCGCAAGAGCCTGCTGCTAAGGTGGTGGAGGTGGTGGGGCTCGATTATGATTCTCCTGGGCTATGTAACGATGCAACTTCCCTCATTGGATCAGGAATTCTATCTCCTTCTTCAACTGAATGCAGTCATCAGTATGATGATCATGGTCCCTGTGGCACTCACAGTACTTTGAAGGGTCCCTTTTTTTCGGGTCCGCTTTTATCCAAGGTGACCACCTCAGGAATTTTTCATTTTGTACTTCATACAAAATTTGCGATATTGTTGTGGTGAGTGGGGGAATCTGTCGAGGTGCGTACCTCGGCTGTAACTCCAAATGAGGTGATCCCAGGCGATTTTTGACGTCTCCCCTTCTTTTGGGGGAGCGATCTCTGTCTTTTCTTAGGGACCTATCTCGTCCTCTCTCTCTCTTTTTGAGACTTCGGTCCCTTTTTTTCTCTTCTTTCCCTTTGTCTTTTTGCATGGATGAGCTCCCCACTTTTTAGAGTAGAGTTTTTTCGTCGTTTATGTATTTTTTTGCCTTGGTCAATATTTCGGCCATGCTCGCCTGGGAATTTTTTGAGATGGAGAACATCAGGTCTTTAGATTGGACACACAAACCAGCTATAAATACAGTAATGGCAAATTTCTCATCTGGGATGTCCACTTTTAGCGATTCTGAGTTGAACTTCTAAACATAGGATCTAAGATTCTCGTGGGGTCCCTGTTTCACATTTAGCAAGTGGTAACTCGGCTTTCTGTACATTTGAGCTCCTATAAAGTGACACACAAAGGATATGGATAGCTCCTTAAAAGAGGATATCAAGGCTGGGGGGAGCCTATTGAATCATGTTAGGGCTGAGCCCTTCAACGTGATGGCAAAAGTTCTGCAGTGCACTGGATCCTGGTATCCATGCAACTCCATCTGGTTTTTGTAGGTGTTGAGGTGATCTACAGGATCCTTTGTTCCATCAAAAGCCTCATCTGCGGTACTCTGAATTTTAGAGGGAGGGAAAAATGCAGCATGCCAGTGGTGAACGAAGATTCAGTCTATTATACCAAGGCATCCATCGTAACTGGAGTCTTGCCTCTCACGGCTTCCTTCATGTGGCTGAGTTCTTGCTGGATACCCTGGAAGCGCTGCTTCCAGTACCGTTCTCTCCTTTCCTGTTAATAAGGGAAAAAATCGTTCCTCTGGCCCCCGTCATTCTGACTTTGTACTTCTTTGTTGTGTCCATTCTTAGGGGGTATGCGAGATTCTGGTCCCATGGTGTGGCTGTTTTCCCCTTCTTCGTTGACTTTCCTGAGGGGGTTGAGGTGTGATTGCTCCCTAGGTGGTGGGTTATTCTGACTTTCTTGAGCTTGTCGCACCTCTTGTGAGCGTTGTAAGAGCTTTAAGAGTTCTTCATTTTGTTTCAGCAAGCGTTGATTGACGAGGCGAAGGGCCTCCATCTCGTTATTCATGGAGAGACCCCCATGGGTGAATTGGTCTCTTGAATGTTCTCAGGTTGTCTGCTATTAGTAGCTTCTTGTTGATATTGCATCTGTGGTGGATTTGTCTGACTTCGACTCATGTTTTGCGTTGATACCATCAGTCACTGAAAGATCAGTTTATTTATAACAGGAACAGTCATTTCCCACAGATGGCTCCAAACTGATGGCGTATTTCAACGTAATGCAATTTTATGATGACGAGTAAATGAAAGAAATAATATTGAAATTATTGTGATCTGAGCTACTAGACTCGAGGGAATGTTATTAAGAATTGTTGGGAAATTGGGGGATTAACATAGTAGAAATATGGTGGTTCACCAACTCGGGAGCTCGGCTAATCCACTCTTCAATGGAGATTCTCGCTCCTCCCTTCACTCTTTACTATACCAAAAGGTTTACAGAATATAAGATGTGGTACTAGGGTTCTGCCCCTCTGTTAGGGGCGTTAAATAGTATTTATAGGGGTGGCCCTTAATCTATGGGATCTGATTCATGATCATCGCCATCTATCCGAGAAATTCTCCTTGATCTTAGGACAGTATATTGGTTGGTTGAGAATTTTGTGCCTTGAGTGTTACTTCAAACCGCCTGTCGAGTTCTTTGTAGTATCCAGTTGCTTCCTCATTGCTTCAGCTTATTATCTCGCTTCTAGCTCTAGTTTTCTGAGCTCTGTATAGTTCTGACTTTCTGAGCTCAGCATACCTGACCTCCATGTTTGACCTTTGTTCTTGAGCTCCTGCTCGGGAATCATTCTGAGTATCATCAATTCGATTAATCTTCTTCCCAATTCGATCAAATACATGTTATTTACATTGAAATTAGTATATTCATAAAAAATAAATTTCTCATAGTCTAACACAAAAGAATTGTCAAAATTTCAATTCAGAACATTTGAATTTATAACTCGTTATTAATATCCCTTGATATATCATTTGAGGTTGAAATAAGGCAAAGCTTCAAAACACAAAGAAGCACGCTTTGGAAATGGGTGGGGACGATGATATACGGTGGATGCACCAAAACAGAAAAAGAAGAAAGTAAACAGTTCCCCATGACTTAAAACAGAAAAAAGATCTGTTGTCTTTTCAATATCTAGAGCTGTTTAGATTCTCCTCTATGTCTAGCAAAACGTATCGATGCTGTAATGCGGGTTGATGTCAAAATGGCAATAGTGAGTGGAAGGTTCTCTCCAAAACCCAGTTGCTTTAGGTTTAAGCTTTTCAAGCAAGAACACTCACAATCTCTACAATTCAAGATCTTAACTCGAATTTAAATCGAATCGAGAATCTTTTCTTCAATTTTTACTCGAGTGTCAAATATTTTCGAATGATACCCCTTGGGTTCGGGCTGATCTAACCAAATAGCACCCGTAGTTGGGGATTTGTTATTTTCATACCTTTGCTAAGATCCGTAAGTTGAATGTGGGCATAAGGTATTACTTGCTATCCCCAAACTTTTTAACCTTACCAAAAAAAAGTAATCAAGATAAAAGAAGCAGAGGCATTAGGCATGGCAACTATATACTGCATTACCCAACCAGCAATCACATCATTGCAGAAAAGGTGGGTTACCCATAAAATGAGAGACATTTCGATTCTCCTTATACATAAAGCACAATTGTTGGTTGCTACCAAATATAAAGACCCATTCTGTATGTAATAGTAGTGACTTTCAAGTAACCGATGACAATGATAACGACAATAAAATGGTGTTATTAAGTTAAATTTTATTAAAGTTTAATGATTGACTTATTGATCACCGCCTCTACTATGTATTGAACTGTCCTGTAATGCAATAATTCAAGTGATCGTGGAAATAGTCAATTTGAACTACAACTTTATAAACTATCTGCGATCCAACTGTGAAGAAGGATATGAAAAGGCAGTACACCAAAACATTACATTAACTTTTTTGACTTTCTCTTATAATACGTGTCATACTTAGTCAATGAATAAACCCTACTACGTGATCAAGGTATACCATATTAGTCTATCCGAAGTTTTAAATAAAACTTGAGGGAAAAATTCTATTTTATCTCTCGAAAGATATAAAAATTCTCAATTTGTTCTATGAATGATTAATTTTTTTTACATTGCTCCTTTAAAGAATAAAAAATATTACAATTTAGTCCGCCATCTTATTTCTTTTTCATCATTCGTTTGTTTTATGATTTTCGATTAATTGATTTGACACAAAACAAATAAATGACTAAATAAAAATAAGACGAATGACTACATTGTAACACTTTTATTTTTTTTAAGAGAGCAATACAAGAAAATTTATCATTCAATTGAGAAACTAAAAAAATTTTGTACCATTCAAGAGGCAAAATGGAATTTACCCAAACTTAAGAGTCCTAAGATTCACAAACATGAGATTTGGGTAAAAAAAAAAAACAAAAGCAGCAGCAATCCAAAAATGACAACTTCAATTTTCCAAAATATAGATTTGGAAGTTCCACCATGTCCCACTCCAATTCCATCATTAAATTCAAATTCATCCAATCNCCAAACTTAAGAGTCCTAAGATTCACAAACATGAGATTTGGGTAAAAAAAAAAAACAAAAGCAGCAGCAATCCAAAAATGACAACTTCAATTTTCCAAAATATAGATTTGGAAGTTCCACCATGTCCCACTCCAATTCCACCATTAAATTCAAATTCATCCAATCGCATACAACTCATTTTACCAATAGATAAATGATTTGAAGATAATTACAATCATTTAAAAAAAAAATTGGATACTCTTTGATTGTACTTGCACCTCCTATTAAAATATAAGGGATTATCTAAATTAACCCGAACACGTCAGACCATTAAATTAAAAAAAAAAAAATTGGATCTATGCATGAATTTGTTTCAAATAACTCAAACAAAACTCTCTGTATGCCCCTAATGCACTATAAATGGTTACTTCTGAGGTCCAGGATTTTTTTTGATTTAACAATCAGCAGTGTTTTTTATTTAGGGTAATACTTAAAAATTTGACTTAATTTATTATCACAATAATATGATTTCAGTAGATTTATTAGACCAACACCAAATTTTAATGTTTGATAGACCTTATAGTTAATTTAAAAGTCATAATAATGCTCTTTATTTAACAATCAATGTGTTGAATTCAATTTACAGATATCCATTTCGAGAATAACGTATTCATTTATTACGAATTCATGAAGAGATTCAAACTCTAGAAGGCAGATGTATTAAGGCCCTCAACGATAAAGATCCGATCAAGAGTTTGATTTAGTTCTCAAAATTTACCAAATGTATTGGAAGAGATCTTAAATTAAGATTTTTTTTGAAAAAAATTAATATTAAGTGACTAATTATTGTAGCTTATAAACCAATATAGGGGCAAAACTGTAACACAAGCCCCAAATGGTCAACAAGAAACGTAAAAATGCCGAACGTGGAAGTAGCTCTCTTTAATAAATGTCGATTCATTTCATTATTTACACCTTTAACGACTTTTTTATTCCCAAATTACCCCTACTCTGGTATTGCGTTCAACCTATCTTCAAAATTCCGTCTTATTCCACCGCCGCCACCAGCAGCACTACTCCTCCCTCTTGATCTCAACCCAGTACCACAGACATCAGCCACTCTTCTCGATGACCTACCACCCTTCTCTCCGGTTAACAACACCGGAGAAAAACTATGCCGACGACACCCACATTTCTCACCACCACTTTTCGTCAATGCAGAGCTCGCTTTCACCGCCAATGCCGCCATTTCCTCCGCCTGAAGTGGGTAATTCAACCGACTCAACGGCAGAGCAAAATACAATTGACCCAGTTGAAGCTCCTCTTCGTCACCAATCGCCGAAACAACGTCGTCAAAGTCCATTTCGTCCGAGTTACAAATGAAACAAGATGGGTTCTTTTGCAACACGTACCAGACTTTAACTGGGTACGAAAATTCTTGTAATCTCCCATCTTGTAATATCAGCTTCGCCGTTGCCACAGATGTCGACTCGCATGAACTGCAAAGACCCATTGTTGATGCAGTTTGATCTTCGACGGGTTCACTCAGAAAAATGATGAACCAACTCAGGTCAGAGAGAGAGAGGGAAGGAGGCGTGCTCTCTCTGGGTGTGAGAATGTAGAGATAGAGATAGAGAGAGAGCGAGAGAGCGTGGTGGAGGGAGGATTTCCCGGTGGTGTATATGTAGAAGGGGAGAGAGTTGTATGGTGAATTGTAGCAGCAGAAGACGCCAGAATTGTCATTTTACGCATAGATCAGTGTGCAGGATATGCCAACCTGTAAACTTGTGGGTGACAGCTTGTAATGGTGTCCCTGAACAGAGACCCACGTTTAATGATTAAATTACGGAGATAGGGACTGGCCTTGGGTGTTTGAAATTATTCACTGACCCACTGACATCACTTCTTTCCGATTTGCTGAATAAAAGTTGGTATTTTATTTATAAGTAACTTATATTAATAAATTAAAATCAAAAAATAATTTTTAAGTATGATATTAAAAAGTTAAATTTTGATGCCATAAACTTGTCTGGTTGTTTATACGGTGCTTAGACAATTTCTTCGGTCTATTATTTGATTCAAAATATATATATATATTTATATATAATATTAAAAAATAAATAATTATTTGAATAAGTCCCTTAAATAATTAAATCATAAATTTTAAAAATTAAATTCAAATTTAAATAGATATAAATTTTATATGTTGACATGCCTAGGTGCGAGAGAGCACCAAAGAAGCACCACTACCATTGGACGATGCATCATCCTATTTATGGCAAATTATATCCAATGAGAATATTGATTTGATAAAGTAACGAGGTCACTTACAAGTGATAGCCACGTTGGTTGAAATTTTGAAAGGTTTTAGTTCAAAGTGTTTGAATTAATTTATGAATATTTTAAATAATTTTTTTTATTCAGTAAAAGATAAAATATTCATGTCACGTTGAAAAAAATAGTACATATAAATTAATGGAATTATCTAGTACCGAAGAATGTGTTGACCAAATTATCGGATATTGAGACTTATAAAAAAAATAAAAAATATAATGTTGTTGATCTGAAAACAAATTTTTGAGATAAATTATATATATATATATAGGGAATAGTAGATGACTAGGTTGGGCTATGGGGGTATGAGAAAAATACATCATTCGTATCTGATAGGGTAGGTGGTGATGAAAAGGTCAAGTTGATGGGGGGCACTTTGAATGGAGGAAGACGTGGCACGCTGTCACAGTCCATGGGGCTATAGGTTGCTGTACGTGAAAATGACACGTGGATGATTTCTGTAAAACCCCAAGACATCTTACGTCATTACGTATAAAAAATGATCTGTGTCTGTTGGCCTCTATACACCACACTTCTTTTATCCTCCATGCTTTTGTTTTTTTTTTTTCAACGTGGTATGGTTACTTAATGTACTTGTCTGAAGGTATTTTATTTTTAAATAATAATTTATACAGAATCTGCAAAATTAATGGATATTGGAGTTGTTACAATTGCTTTAGTGGCGCTTGCTTGATCTACTTTATATCGTTTTTAAACCATCTAATTTTTAAGGATAGTAAATTTTTCAATGAGATTGGTGCCAACCAATCAGATTATCTTTTATTTCAAATTTTATTATCTCTTATAGTAAAAAAAAAAAAAAAAAATGNTGTTGGCCTCTATACACCACACTTCTTTTATCCTCCATGCTTTTGTTTTTTTTTTTCAACTTGGTATGGTTACTTAATGTACTTGTCTGAAGGTATTTTATTTTTAAATAATAATTTATACAGAATCTGCAAAATTAATGGATATCGGAGTTGCTACAATTGCTTTAGTGGCACTTGCTTGATCTACTTTATATCGTTTTTAAACCATCTAATTTTTAAGGATAGTAAATTTTTCAATGAGATTGGGGCCAACCAATCAGATTATCTTTTAATTCAAATTTTATTATCTGTTATAGTAAAAAAAAAATGGGTAACAATAATCAAAACCCTACTAACTAACTGTGTAATAATAAAAAAAAGTATAAGTTTCAAAATCAAAGAAAAAGTTTATGCATAATCTGTGACAACAGCTCTAATAGAACCTTCTAATATCCCATTTTTATTAAAATTATTCACTCAATTGATTAGATAAACGTCAATTGTATTCGAAAACGAAGTCAATAGTGATAAAGAGAAGGAAGACGGAAATACATAAAAAGATAAGTGGGATACCTAAAAGAGAAAAATTCAAAAAAAGCGTTGTTTATAACGTATCGTGTATAACATATGTTTATCAAGTTCATGTGGTATTTATTCAACGCTAGTGTCAAATTATTTAATAGAAGGGACTAATAAATTTACCTATTTATCACTCAATTTCGCTAAAGTTAAACCTTCACTAATTATGTGTTGATTTCGTTGGTTTATATTTAGAATTGAGAGAACTAAAAATAGTTTCTCAAATTTATCTAAATAAAAAATTTCTCGTGAAAAATACGAACGAAAGGGCATAGGCTGGAGTCGAAAACAAAGGCCGTGGAAAATAAGGCTGTCAAAGTTAGGTTTTGATGGTTTAAAGCTTACACTAATTAACCTCATTTTTCATGAAAATTTCAGTGGTAGCAAAATTCAAAATTTTACCTATTTCCCAATTTTTTTAAAAATTCCAATGGGGGCCCATTGCAGATCCGCCACTGTCCATATCCATTATCCAATCCCTTAATCAAGTATTAAATGGTTTATTTATTTTTCAATTGAATGCATATTTAGTCGGCTTCTAATATCATATAAGATAACTGTTTTAATCTCTAAATATTGTCTGCTTCTAATTAATTCAATTGGGACACTCGAAGATTGGTATTATTAAAATAAATTTTCATTTTANTTAATGGTTTATTTATTTTTCAATTGAATGCATATTTAGTCGGCTTCTAATATCATATAAGATAACTGTTTTAATCTCTAAATAATGTCTGCTTGTAATTAATTCAATTGGGACACTCGAAGATTGGTATTATTAAAATAAATTTTCATTTTATTCGATTGGTATGAAAGAAAGAAACTCATTAAATTAGATGCATGCATCAACGAAGGTTCATAGTACCTTCTTGTGAATAATGTTCAACATGTAGGGTCTTACTTATGCATGAAATTCTCACATAGCCTTCAATAGCCTTCAAAAGTGGAATTGGACCCACAATCAATTTAATGATTATAATGAGAACCATGAGGTGCCTTTATAGGCTTCTAGCATCGTTCTTTATTTTTAAGCATTCTTTTTTCTTTTGACAATAATGCTATTTAAACTTAATTAATCAATTGAATTCAAAATAATTATTGAATTAGTAGTGGGTATAACCTATCGCTAATCGAATAATAAAGAGTAATTTGAACAACTAAATTAAAATAATAAATTATGTTTAAGTAGCATTTGCTTTACAAAAATTTGTTTACAAGATTCAGAGTTATTTTAANTATAGCATAGTTCTTTATTTTTAAGCATTCTTTTTCTTTTGACAATAATGTTATTTAAATTTAATTAATCGATTGAATTCAAAATAATTATTGAATTAGTAGTGGGTATAACCTATCGTCAATCTAATAATAAAGAGTAATTTGAATAACTAAATTAAAATAATAAATTACGTTTAAGTAGCATTTGCTTTACAAAAATTTGTTTACAAGATTCAGAGTTATTTTAAGTTTATTATGTCTNGTTTAAGTAGCATTTGCTTTACAAAAATTTGTTTACAAGATTCAGAGTTATTTTAAGTTTATTATGTCTTTTTGTTGTCTGTTTGTTCTTACGTTTGTTTCCTTTAATGGAAGCCAGGAAAGGTATTTGAAAATGGTCCAAGTCCACAAACTCTGTCACCCCCACCCTTCGGTGAAGCTTCATACACATGGCAACTCGAAACCACCATGGTGGCTCATAGATTCGTCCTAAATAGTTATTGGTATTCCTAGTCTATGTTTTGTCATGTGCAAAAGCTTTTCATTTGTTTAGAGGATGGGAAAAAGCTCCTTTTCAGTAGGTGAGGAGTGGATGACACAATTCTAGGAAGAGCTTGAGTACAATGATCACAGTGAGCGGTGGTTTAATTGATTATCGGCAATCAGTCTCGTCTCGTGTAGGGTACGACCGTGTCGTGTCATTTTACNATTGATTATCGGCAATCAGTCTCGTCTCGTGTTGGGTACGACCGTGTCGTGTCATTTTACGAATTTGTGTTAGGATAATTTAATCAACGGATTTGTGTTAGGATAATTTAATCAATTTTAAGACAATTTATTTAACTAATCGTGTAGTGTCAATCNACGAATTTGTGTTAGGATAATTTAATCAACGGATTTGTGTTAGGATAATTTAATCAACTTTAAGACAACTTATTTAACTAATCGTGTAGTGTCAATTTGACTTATTTATTTTTGTGTCATGTTCGTATTGATCTGTAATATCCATAAATCAAAATTTTAACGCTAAAATTTAAATTTTAGATTTTATTATCACTTAATCAAATACACACTCATACTTTTTGTATAAACTGAAAAATAATTTAGTAAATATAATAACAAATATGAGTAAAAATATCTTCTTTTTTTTTGAATTTTGATAATACTTAATAAAAAATAACAAAAAATTGATATTTTATTTGTATAATATTAGTTAATCGTGTCAATTTTATGTTATTTGTGTTTGACACTGATCCGACTTATTTATTATTCGTGTTCACAAGTCATTTATAGATTCGTGTTTAAAAATGATCAATTCTAATTTATTAATTACGTGTCAATTATGAATCTTATTTTCATGTTGTGCCCAATTTGATTCACATAAGAAAATTTTTGTTGAGATTCTTGTATTAGTCCTACATCCATGGGGGTGGGTTTCAATTATTTAGGCTGGAGTCGATTACTCTTTTAAACTCAGCGATTGATCATCGTAACTTGAACCGGTATAAAACATGTCCCCAAAGAGACAAGAATGACTAACCCTTGTGGAGTGTGAGAAATAATTGAACCATGGGATGCTAACAAAGGGTTTGATCAGCATAAGTTGCATCCTTAATGTAATGTCGATAATAGTGGTGCGTGAATGTCTACTGGCTTGAGCTGTCTGTTAGAGCTGATCTGCCTATTATTGCTTCTGATTCCATCTCATGAAGGTTCATGCTATTTTTGCCGGGCTAATACTTCTTCTGCTTGACCAATGTGATGTTTCAACAGAAAGTATATACATGAAACAAGTTGTAAACTCAAATATTATGTGTTCGAATTTTGACAACTTCTTAAAGTTAGGCCATAAATGATTTATCTCTCATGAATACACTAGTTCCAGTATAGATGGTCTAATTTTGACCAAGCTAGATAGAAGATTAATTGAAATACGCATAAGCCAAGTCTAAATACTCTTGAACGTTTAACCAAAAAAAAAGAAAGAATATATACACGAGTCCCCGACATCCCTCTTCTTTTTTTGCTAGGTAAATTGGGTATAAGAGGAAAGACCAGATGTGGAATCGTTGATGGAATGTGAATCATGTGACCATAACAACCCTAATCTGCTGGGGAAGCCTTCCAAAGAGGCCTATCACGAAAAAAATCTTTAGACGCTCGCTAAAGACAACCTAAGCCATAGCCGGACCCCAGCTCCATCAAGCCGCTAGATAAACTCAATAATCTACTACCCATGAATTGAACTCAAGACATAACCCTGTACAAATAAGATCCACGCTAAGTGGCTCATCTTTGTAATTGGATCAATTACTTGAAAATTCTTTTTCCTTTTTGCCACAATTATCTTGGAAATTCTGAACCTCCACATCCCATGGACATTTCCTTTCTGAATCGATTGAAACAGTGATACATTTACTTAAGAGGAAGGTAGGCAGGAGGTAGGACCACCAACCGGCAAAACAACACTGGAATGTAGGACTTGGACCTCTTCATTGAGAATCTTATCCAAATCTCTCTGATTACTTTTGTTTAGCTGGTTGAAGATTTGTAAATGCCAGCCAATAATTTTGTTTTATATTATCCTCTTTGATTCACAGATTTAATTAATGAAGCTGGCCAATGTCCTTACCTCGAAGCTTCCAGGCTTATTTCTTATTACTAATGAACCTACCCTGCTTAACACATGCTGTAGTATTCAAGGTCTTGACTCATATGTAACACATTAAAGATTCGAGTAGCGGATAAAACCTCTCCGAATGCAAGCTGCATACATTTGACCTTTCCTAAATCCTAGATATCTGTATATTTGAGCAATTTGAACACTATAGGTGCAGAAATATCAAACTCGGGCAAATAAAAATCACAAAATAAATCATTGAAATTCTATAGATGGCAATGGCCTGATGTATACATGGGACTATAAAGATTGGAGAAGCCAAAGGTTGAAGAGAAAGGAGCCTAATGACAGAAACCAAGACAGGAAGGCCATAGCAGCAGAGAGTTGATATCTGCTGCATAACTTCCCAGAGCAGAAGGAGCCACCAGAAGTGATCAAGAGATCCGCCACACTAGCAGTTGAGCAGGCGGCAGCCAGTGACAGAAATGAGAGAACCTGTGATGGGTGGAATATGCAACTTTAAAGTAGGACCAAGAGAAAATATCCACAAGGTTGGCAAAAAAAAAAAAGGGGGCAAATACCCAATCTCCTATAACAATGATTGATATTATTCCTGGTTGACGATATGAACTTCTGACAAAGACGGAGAATGCATCCACCAGTGCCAGTGTCAAGCTCCATGGAACATCTAGACCCATGACGGTTACCAAGAAACTGCAAACAAAACATGAAAAATAAAAAATGAGAAAAGAGTGATAGAAATATGTTCCTGTACAAGTGCATATACTATTTCCTGTCAAAAAGGAGCATATCTATGTCCAGGAGTAGCTAGCAGAAAAACGAACGTAAATAGTAATCCAGCAATTGTTTGAGTCGGAATGCTGTTGCTTCAAGCAATTTAAAATGGGGAGCTCATAATGGTCCAAGTTGGGTCTTCCCAGATCCCAAAGAAATATTCTTCAAACCATGAGAAAAAAACCACGTCGGCATCTTCAATGTCATGATGAAGGTTAGTCTTACATGAAAGCAGGAGTTAAACATGAACTCTGGGTTCAATACTTTGTCTATCTAGTGAATATGAGAAGCAAATCCCTCTTTTATGGATTTCACAAACACACATTTAATATATTGACCATTGCAGCCTCTCTTTCACATGATAATCAGCATGCACATATAGGCTTTGTTCTTGTGAAGCAGAAGTTGACTTTATGATTCTGGTATCCAACAACAACTCCTAAATCAGCAAGCATAACCAAATAAACAGAATTAATTCCCTTAGAGTAGCTTAATAGCACAGAAATTTTCTTAATAACAATCAACTCCTAAACCAATAAACACAACCAAATAAGCAGAATTAATCTCCTTAGAGCAGCTTAATTGAAGATTTTCTAAATAACCTATTTCCCAAACATTGCACAACTAACATTTTCCCATCTGCAACATTAACCCAACGAGAATGTACCATACATCAAACATCAGTGTCCAAAATTCACAACCATGGTGGGTCTGAAGCTGAGATAAATCACGAGAGACCACTGGCTAAAGCCCCCATCGGATCCACTTTATACCATTTCTAGCCTAACCAACTTTCTCAAAATGGTCCTTAGAAGAGGATACAACGTCAAATGAATGTGGAAAATCAGCAATTTTAAAATATGCACCCTCAGCCTTGATAGCCTACTATGGTACCACTACAGTGTCGTCTTTTTACCATGCCTAGTAAGTTCTAAGAGACAGACCTCCCCTTGAACTTCCTGATACCACATGTTTCAAGTTTAATTGATAATACTCACACAATTCCTGGGTCTTCTCAAATCTTACCCAGATTTAGTTACGCAGAACTGCTTATGGTGAAGCAGCCATGTTATAATGATGATCCTGACAACCAAAGCTCATATAAGCTTTACACCACAGCCACCAAGGTGTTAGCATAAATGTTCAATATCCCAACTCACCTGACAGTCTTTCAGAGCAAGAGGTGCAGTTAAAACTTCCAATCATGATACTAACATTTTACAACATTGAAGCACCTTACCTACCTATTAAACATTCATCAGTTCATCAATCACATCACCGTTTAATTTTGTCCAAGTAACACAAAACCCAAGNAAGAGGTGCAGTTAAAACTTCCAATCATGATACTAACATTTTACAACATTGAAGCACATTACCTACCTATTAAACATTCATCAGTTCATCAATCACATCACCGTTTAATTTTGTCCAAGTAACACAAAACCCAAGTACTCTGCAAAACGAATGTATATACGAGTTGATCCAACATCCAGTACCCATACTGGAAGAAAAGTAACATTTTTGCCCTTGCCAACCAACAACACTGTTTGCCAAAAAAAAAAACACTGACTAAGCTTCATCCACAGGAATAAGTGAACGGGCATCAGAAACTTTTATGCTAATCCTTTCAGCACTTCCATAAAGCTTGTAATATTTGATGCCATGATGTCGCTCTCCGCAAAATCATGAATTCAAAAGTTCATGCACAAAGTAGTTGCGCATATAATGTCAATTAGTGCTCATGTTTCAGCAGGCTAAGGTATATGAATATCTATTTATAAATACTTTTGACTTTTCAAAACTCCCCTCCAAACTCAAAAAGTATCCCAGTTGGAGCATTAATTAATACGTTTGTTTTCTCTACGAAACAGAAACCAAAAATACAAATTCGTATTCGTGAGTTTCATCATCACTATATTCTGACCTTTTCATCAACAACCTTTCTGATACAATTCTTTACCCTCATGATCATCACAACTTGTGTGTGCTGGTGATAAACGGCACAAATTCTGCAACAAGACGATAATGAGAGCTTTCTAATCCAAATTAGTTGAAAAAACAAACAAAAATTGCAGCTCTGTACAGTCTTGAGTTAGAATCAATGAACATTCTGTCACAACGAGAGAATTGGAGAAGAAAACACAAACAATTGAGAAAAACAAAAGCAACCCAATAAACCCAATTGAGAACTGATTAAACGAAAGTGATGGGATTAATCGGAATTACCAGAAAGCAGTGTAACCGTAGAAATCCACTTGCACACACATAAATAGGATTGAAGCAACAGCGAAGACGAACTGTCCCAAACGAAGAGCCAAGCTGGCACTCGTCCCCAAAGTCCCTGGCAATTCATCCATCTAACTCGCATGCATGCGAGACTCAGACTGCTCTTCTTCAAGAATATAAATAATCAAACCCACCACCACCCACCTGGCGAAGGGTGGTCGATGGCCATTCAATTCAATTCTCTGTATTATAGACCATGCAGAATGCAAAAGAATTGGAGAGAATTTTAATCGAAAATTTAAGTAACGCACTATTGTTCCCTGAATTGAATTATGGGTGGAAATAAATAAATTTTTGTCAGGAAGAAGAATTTAGGAAAGAAATGGTGGAAGAATTTAGGAAGAAGATTTTTTTGTAGGCGTCTTTTTGGGGAAAACGGAATATACACGCCGGGGGGGTGGGGTGTTCAGGGGGGTCAGGTCAACTAATTATAATTTTTTTGTTTTTTAAAAGAAACGATAGAATTTCAATTGGATAGGAACATGCAACACGGGAAGGGACATTACGAATGCCCCTCTATCTGTACGATAAAAAAATTTGTGGTATTTTATTTTTTTATTTGAAATTTTTTTTAAAAAAAAATTCTTGGTTTATCCTGCTTGATCAAGTATATTATTACTACCTAAATTTCGTTCAAAACAATCGGATTGAAAGTCGGTTAAGAAATCAGGTGAACACATATTTTTTAGTAATTAATTTTTAAATTATTTTAACAATTCAATTAAGTAATTTGTATCAATTAACTAACACAACAAACCAATAACACTAAAAATACACAATAAATTTTATAATACATAAATAACTATAATAATACACAACAAAAAAATCATAAACATCAATATATTATAATTGGATCTGACTATGAGAAAGAGGAGGAGACGTAGGGATTTTAAGGTTTTTACACCCGTTAACACACACACACACATACCTATTTTTTTGCGGTAATCGATGAGTAAATTCAGAATATACGAATAATCAAAAATTTAAACACTCCTAAAAGACAATAAAATATCTAATGTCACCAGTGTTATCAAATCGGAACAGACTGGTTCAACCGTGAATCGGAGGTCTTAACCTGTCCGATTTCATAATTGGACCAGTTAAGAAAGTGAACCGACTATAAACTGAAAAATCAGCCGATTTTTGTTTAAAATGGTGAACTGGCGATTTTAGAAAAATCGGACGCATTAATGCCAAAATAAATTAAATTAATATTTTGGGGCTTTTTTTGGCCCTAAATCGCAGAACAGAGGGCAGTAACCACCAGGCAAAATCGCAGAATAGAGGGCACCACCACCAGGCGACTTCGACTGCGACCAGTCACTGCCCACTGCGATCAGCCACCTCGATCAGCTACCAGCGACCAGCGAACTCGATAACCAGGTTTTCCATATCTTCCTTCCTTCTATAAGCCACCTCTCTTTTTCATATCATTCGCCTCTCTTTTTCATAACTTCCTTCTATAAGTTCTATTAGACTGGTCTTTTTTTTTTTTTTTGAGAAGGGGTATAATATGATCTAACCAGTAACTAGGTTTGTGTTTGTGTTTTTGACTGTGATTACATCTTTTATTTTTTAATTTTTTATTATGATGTGTGATGTTTGTTTAATTATTTGGTGTTTAATTCTGCACATTGTTAGATGATTTTGAGCATTACAAAATCAATGTATTTTTTTAAGACTCGCTTAATTCTATTGGACAATTGAAATTACCTATTATCGATGTTACTGTGCTATTATTGTATGTATTTTAGACATATTTTATATTTTTTAGTTAAATTATTATGTGTTATAATTATTATGTATATATTTTTATTTTTTTTATCATATGATCGGTCCGATCAATTGACTTACCGATTGAACCAGTAAATCATTGACCCGATCTCTTAATCGGTCCGGTGCCGATAACATTGGGTGCCACATTCTTTTGTACCTCAAACGTAGCAACTTACTTGTATTTCTAATTGATTGATGTACTACTCTGTTGGTAGTTCTATGAACAGTAGACAAACTAAAAATATCGAAAACTGTTGATGAAATTTCTTATGTCTGCTAAAACGGATCCCATAGGATCAAAATCATCTTTAGTTGCAATGGGCAGCTCCTCACATTCTGCGAGTCTCATTCCAAACTAACCTCATCACAGTTGTTATGTATAGCAAAAAGAACAGCCTCCCGCGCAGCAAGCATCTCTGTTGATTGCGCCTCACAAGACGAGACAAGCTTCTTAGACAATTCGATCATGAACATCCATCTGTCATCCCTTATTATAACACCCACACCAATAGTCCCCTCTGATCCGAATACAGTGCTTGATCTCGAATAGGTAAAGGTGATCAAGAAATAAATATTCGAAGAAATTTAGAACTAAATAAAGGAAACGTTTGATTTAAATTTGGCCCAAGTGATTTAGATATTCCCGCTTCAATTTGAAAACCATTAGCTGAAAGATTCTCATATCTTCATCAAAGGAAATTGTTTTGACCCCGTTATTCCGACTATCAATCCCACGCTCTGAATGTGGGCATGCCTTAAATCCATGGGAGTGTCGTGTCGTGTCGTCAATCACAACTGTGTTTGACGGCTGAATAGACTCCTCACGATTCAAGGTAGGAGAAGTCCTCATTGGTGGTTCTCGTTCAACTCCGGTGACTGAGCCCCCATTGTTCCCGGCCTGGGTAACTTTTTCATTAAGTTTTTTTGGGGAAATTTTTTATGTAGTATTTAAATGTTTGGGCACTGTTTTATTAATCTTAAAACCCATTTTAAAGTTCAATTATTACAGTTGATAATGCAAAAAATAATATTTTAAATGTATATATATTTAAGATGAGTCGTTATGTTTTGTGAACTTGTTTCATTAGATAAAATATATATATTAATATGAAAAATAATACGTTTGAGTTGAATTGTAATATCACCTCTCTTGGTAGTGTTAAAACAACTTTATAATATAGATTTATCGTATAAAAAATATATAATACGATTACTATAGATTTTTGAAATTAGTATGATATCAAATTTGCTAACCAAACAAAGTATTAGATCCGATTAAATAAAAAATAGTATAATATAATATTTAATCTTGTCATAATACGTCTACCAAATGAGCTCTATGTGTATTCATAATTGCAAGAATATATATTTTATACCTAGGCTTTAGGCAGGAAAAAATGTTGGGTTTGCTTCATATTTGTTCTAACTTGTTTTGCAATTCATAATTTCTCTTTGTAGAGATTTAGATCCCATTCTCGGATCCAGATCTCATTCATATATCGAGTAACCCCGTATAAAGAGTGTTCTATATAGTTTTATTGAAGGTAATCTACAATTGAATAAAATTGTTTTCTGAATAAAAAATATCTACAATTACACAAAATTATAGATTCAATTTCTCTTGAAAGCCCAACAATAAAAGAAAGCCCAAAAAGTTTGTTGCAAAGAATTGTAGGGTTTTACTAGGGGTGTCCATGGACCAAGTTGAAATCGGCCAGCGAAATTTTTTCGGGTTGGACTGGATGGTGTGGCTCAGTGTTTTTAAAAGCTCGCCTAGGCGAAAATCGAGGCAAGACGAGCTTATCTCGCCTGAAGGACCCTAGACGAAGCGAACGTGAGCGAACACTTTATTATAAAAAGCGATTCTGCTTCACTTTTTTTTTTTTTTTTCTGATTACAGGTTAATAATCTCTTTTATTTTTTAATCACTAATGACTTTTTTTTTAGATTATTGCTAGTCTATTTTTTTTTCTAATAAACAATGTTTCGAACAAAACACATTCCTTTTTTTTCCTTGTGTTGCTGAATTCATTTAGAATATTTGTGGGATATGGGAGTCAGGCGACTGCACTGCATGACAATCATGATAAAAAAAGGAAGTAGGAGTATCAGAAATTGGGGTAAATAATAGATTCTTTTACAAAGAAGTGTCTCTGATATGTCTTGGTTATACTTTTCTCTTTTCTTATATATATACAAATGGTACCAAAAAGTGGTCTATGCTTATACCATGTTTAATTATTTTAGTACATGTGAAATGTGTCTCTGTTCTGTTTTTTTTTATTCAGTATATAATTACATATGAAATTGTTTACAATTGATTCTGCTCCTGTCATGATCATTGTGCTTCTGTTTTTTTTTTAGCTCATTCTGCTTCTATTTTTTTTTGTTGATTCTATTGCTGCTTCGGTTTTGCTGTTCTGTGTTGCTTTTGTTTTGTTTTATCCTTATTCTGCTTCTTTTTTTTTTTTGTTAATTCTGTTGTTGTCCTGATTCTGTTTCTTTTGTTATCCTACCTTGTCAATATGAAAATGTATACAATTGTTAATATTTGTTTGAATTTAAATGTTTAAGTTATAATTGTTATTAAGATTTGAGATATTATTAGTGTTTGTTTTAATTTAAATGTTTATGGTTTTACTTGCATTTAAATATTTAGTATATATAAAATTAGAACTTAGATTGTTTAGAAGTAATTAAACTAAAATATATATATTTTTTAACTGTTCGCTTTGCTTCGGTAAAGCGTGTCGCTTCGCTTCTCGCTTCTCGCCTAGGCGTTAGGAGCTTTGGTCACTTCGATTTGCTTTTCGCCTTAAATAACACTGGTGTGGCTCAAGCCCTTACCCGAGTGAATTATCGAGCAGGGCAGGTTTCGGGTAAGGGTAGGTTACCTGCAATCCAATTGGGCGGGCCTGTTCGCAGGTATTTTTATATACAACTTTATTTAAAAATAATAAATATTTGTGTAAACTATATTTTTGAAACAAAAGTAGAGTCAAAATGGATAAAAATAAAATAATTAATAATTTTATTTTTAATCGGGGGATGAATTACATCCAATAGAATGAATACATCTTAACTAGGTTGACACCTACTCACTTATCTATCGTTTGCATTATTCTACCCTTTAAAACTTGTATGTTTAATAATTGAAAAAGAAAATAATATATTATTTATAGTATCTAAATTTTTAAAACTTTAAATTCTAACATTAGAGATTTATTTCAAAGTTTTAAATTTAATAATGTAAAAGTATAACTTTTTTCAAAGGAATAGTGGACGGGTTGGGCTTGACAGGTTTTAACGGGTTTTTTCGGGTGGGCTCTTGAGTCGAATTTCGGGCCGGTTAATGGGTTTGAGGACAAACTCAAACCCCATTTTTAAGGATATTGAGCTTAGGCAGGTTAACTATCGGGTCTATCGGATTTCAGGTCGGATAACAAGACTTGTGGGTAACCAGGGCTATAGTGTATGAGAGCATAAGCGAAAGCGAGAGCGTAAAAGCATGAAGAGCGAAAATATCTTGAGAGTGTCATATTATATTCATATAAATACACATTCACCTATAAAAATTTAATATAAATAGAATCAAAAAAATTAAAATTTCATATACAACTATAAGACAAACTATTTAATTTTTAAATATATACTGATTATAAAGTCTTAAAATAATAATTATAGTTTACAAAGATTATTCTAGTTTGATAAATATCTTAAACCCGAGTCAATATTTCTCAAATAAAAATTTAAGTACTAATAAATAAGCATATAAATAAATAAAATAGCGAATTGAAAAATTGAATTCACAAATTTTGTAGAATAAGAGTACAAATTCACGAAAAATTCGCTCTAAGAGGGCAAATTCATGGATAATTCGCTTCTAAAACATAAATGTACATGTGGAACAAAAAACATTAAAAGTTTAAAAGAATTATGTTATTAAAATTTCACCCTAGGGGAGTCCTTCCAAAATATTTCAGTGGCCTAGGCCAAAACCAAGCCAAAGATGAGGGTTTGGAATTAGTTTTAAATTAAACTAGCAATTGATGAGCCTTGGTGATCGCTTCACCCGCTGTATCAAAAACATTCGTTTTACCCGTCATGTCATAGGTTGTCATTTATTCATACTTATTATACACTTCCGAATTCCGATGTGGGATGAATATTACGAAGATCTCTCATTTGTTGTTCAAAAATTGGGAAAACATTGTACTATTGACACATACACGAGGGATAATCACAGATAAAGAGCCAAATCCCTCTATAAACCATCAATATATATTCTATGTACTAACTCTTGATGGAACGATATACAAATTTTCAGTACAACAATCAATTACACAACGTGGTACAAGTGACTCAAAAAAACTTCAATGTCTGCAATGCAACATCCCCTTATGCCACCTTCACTTCTGGCAACGAGTCATTCATCATCAAGAAGACTGGCCATTTCTACTTCATGTGTAGCATCATCGGCCACTGCCAATTAGATGGGATAAAGGTAAACATAAGGATTCCCTGAGCAAAAAAATATTAAGTGTAACTGTTATACCATGTCATCATGTTGACATAAAATAACCATCCAATAATAAGATACTATGTAGAGTGGATCCCACATGAGATAGTCACTGCATGACATGGATAGATAGTTTTTTAAATATGTGAGATTCACCTCTCCATATGTTATTTTATTAGTGGAGTTATTTAAATATACTTTGTAAGCATGATGACATGCAGCTCCTTTTAAGGTCATTGTCATTGTCACCACCATTATCGTCTCTGTTGTCATCTTTACCATTGTCACCATTGTCATTGCCATCTCCACCACCATCATCCTTACAGTAACCGTCGCCTTCGCCTTTGGCATGAAACGATCCTGGTCCTAAGAACAGTGCAAATGCTATTCATATAACCAAGGGACTGATCGCTAGCAAGCTTTGGTTGTCCTTGTTGGTTCTAACATTTTGTGTTTCTGGCATTGCTTATTAGGAAGATTTGTTTCACTAGTGTGTTAGCCATTTGGGAGTCCTCGGGTATTTAGTCTATTTTTTAGTTGAATTTTGACCGTGTATTTTAATTATAATCGAGGGTAGGGGTACATAGGTCGTTTTTTAACATTATGAAACTTAATTTAGTATAAGTTCATTAAGCTTATTGTTTGCCCCTATTTTATTCAATGGTGCATTGATTGTATTTTTGTTTCACTTGTGTCTGAATTTTCTATGATATGTGATATTAACAATGCTACGTACCTTAGATTTGATTTATCCAACAAAAGAATTGGATTCTTTCACCGTAAAATTCTACGAGGTACAAGTATTTGAGTTTGATTCTAGCAAATTAGAATTGATCTTAGGTTTATGACCTTGATTCTTACATGACTTTTTTAATTCGTAAGAACTTGGTCTATCGGAGTTTAAACTAGTATGATTTGGCTATATCTATATAATAAAATAGTTTACAATTCAAATCTCAAAAGACAAACAAAATGACTTTTGTTATTCGCAGTTGAGATCGCTTTAAATTTTATTTTAAAGTTAATCTAACAGCTAATATTATCACCCTAAATTTAATAAGAAAAATAGGTCTCTAAAAGTGTATTCTGTGTGACTTTCTAAAAGTATTTTTAGAAATTATTTCTCATAAATACTTTTTAAAAAAAAATAATGTTTGAAATCGCCTCATTACTACCTCTACCATCACCACCCTCACCACCACCACCACCCCCACCCTCGCTGCCACCACCATCACCGCCGTTGTCGACACCACCACCGCCGCCGTCACCACCATCGCCACGCCCACCATCACTGCCGTCATCACTGTCATTACCACTCATCACAACCATCACCGTTTTCTACCACCATTACTGTCGCCCCACCACTTCTCACCCTCACTACAAATAGATGCTTAAATTCCTTTTATCTCTTCTCTATATTTGTAAATTGATTTTGGATTTGAATACAAATATGTTTATTATTTACCATT